ATTACTGCATCACCACTATTGAAGATTGAATGTGTGAGCAGCATCTTCATGTTGTGGCTCGTCGAGGTGAAGAAATTTAAAATGATTTACATTCTGTTGTATGGTTCATTTCCAGGATATTAACGTATTTTAAAGCTCATTTTAAAACAAATGTCTGACCACTATTAAAAAAGCAGACAGATGTGAAATAGTGGAGTAAAACTACTTTTGTACGCGCACTTTTTTAAAGAAAACCAGGGAAACACAAATGTATATAACAAATACTTACAAACACTTCCTTCAAGTCAGAGTCATCATATGAATAAGTTGAGTTCAGAGCAGAAACATCAGAAAGTTTCCTCCTTGTTTACTTTGTTACTCTGGTGGATCCGGTTAGAACCTGATTGGGTTCTACTAGTCCCCCCCTGGAGAACCCCTGAGCGCCCCCAGCTGGGGAGGAAGCACCATACCAACAACAATTTGAGGGTTTCATCATTATCTCTCCAGAGTCAAATCTCTGCAAACCGACAGCGTGAAATAAAGACACGGGTGGTGCACGTGCAGCAGTTTAGAAAGCCTCTTTAATTGCAATAATACCAACATGTCACATGTTTTCCATTTCAGAGGTGCAGTCAGACCAACGTTACAACATAATTGAGAAGATGCAGTTTTTTTTTTCCTTTTATTTTTGTCAAGATGTTCTTTGTCTTTAAGTTCGAAAAGATGTGTGATCCTTCTAACTGTGAACCGTTACTCTTCAGCAACAGATTCCTCTCACTTCCCAGCAGTGTGAGCCAAAAGCCGCCCCCGGGGCACGAGCTGTGTGGGGTTTGTGTCCCATGAACCACCGGCCAGTCGGAGTAAAGTGTACATGGACTAGAGTAACAAAGTACACTCCTACGTCTTGAATCTGCCTTTGGTTTTGTAAAATCCTCAGCTAACCCCCCCCCCCACCTCAAGAGGCTGTGCCCCGAGTATACATTGTGTGCTGTGAGTATTTAACTACCCCACCACCCAATTAAACGTTACCCTGAACATTAACGAAAACACTGATAGTGATAAACATAAAAATCAAAGCATGTCCAGATAGAAGCCAACAACCGCACCCAGTAGAAATCCTGCTGTTTTTAAGGCTTTAGTGTGTGTTGGCAGCGTGTGCGCCCGCTACACGAGCACGTACACGGTCTTTCCGAAAAACTTCTCCGTCACCGTTTCAATCAAACACACAAACGCAGTGGTTTATGATGTCGAGGCTAAAGTGTTTCTGTTTTTTTTTTTTTTTTTCCTCCATGTCAGTGCAAAATTAAAGATATTTCAGCACAGTCACAATCAAATGCCTTCACTTTGACGTCAATGAGTTTCTAATTATTACCCGAAATCAGCCTCAAATTTCATTTTCCACATGAAATGTACGTATCAAATGATTAAGCCCAAAAGCGTAGTCTCAAGTGCTAACTGCTGCTAAATTGATAGAATACATTTCAGCATATAAACCTTCATTATAAACTGAGGCGAGAGCGCGAGTGTAATAAACATGAAGCACTTCCATTCTTAACCATTATAAAAACTTCTGCATAAAATACAATTCTATAGTTCGAGATATTACTTTGGTCCCCTTCCAGTAATCGGTCTTCATTCATGTATACTTCTTTGTTTTCTCTTTCTTCAATTAGAAAAATAGATCCGTGATCAGGACTATTACAACTGGAATGTTTCCTTATAAAAATATCTTTTTCTTTTTTTTTTGTTTTTCCCAGAGAATGAAACAGGAAGCAAAAAAGAAAAATTTGGCCCAAAAATAACGTGTGTTTGTCAGCATGTGATTGTCCGAGTTAACTGGCGTCTGTGTTAAGAATGCATAGATTGTCGATGGTAAAGAGATCAGACTGTCACATTATCGTGTGTGTGTGTGTGTGCTCCTCTCTGTTCTGTTCGGCAGGTACAGTAAGGTTTGCTCATGAGTATTTGGGTCTGTCTATTTACGATGCAGTTCTAAAGAAGTAGAGCGACGGCCGTTCATTCGGGTTTGGGCTCGGGCGTCTCGGTCTTGGGCTCGCTCTCCTCGTCACTCTCGATGCCAGTGCGGGTAACGGTGCGGCGCCCGATGAAGGGGAGATCGACACGCCTGGAACAGAGGAGAAAAATAGAGTGAGCACACGTCGCCTGAGATAATGGTCACGGCACCATCATGGAGTTGAATGTGTTTATTTACTTTTACGCTGCATCTCATAGAAAATAAAAGCTGCGACGTCTCTACAGACTCTTTCTCCCACCTGAGCTTGTTCTTGAGGGTGGTGACTTCACGGTTCATGGCGTCCGTCGACTCTGTGGCGTCCTCCAGCTCCCGCTGCAGTTTCCTTCGGTTGGCGTTGGCTCTCTGAGCCTCCTCCTCAGCCTCCTCCAACTGACGCTTCAGCTGCTTCATGCGAGAGTTCAACTTGTCCACCTGAGAATTAGACAGATCACAGAACATTTAAAGAGAATCGAGAAAACCAGAGCGCAGATGAAGAAATCCGACGTAGAGCTGAAGGAGCTGATGAAGGAAAGCCTCGGACCTGGTCCTTGTGCTGCTCTGTGTTGCGTCTCTCGTCGTCCACCTGCAGGATGACTTCCTTCAGTTTCTTCTCCGTGCGTCTCACAAGTTTGGTGGCACCCTGTCTCTCCCTGAGTCGAGAGAACAACACTGATCAGGCTGAAGTCTTTACCCAACATATTGTCGATGAGTGGTGGAGAAGTGTCTCTTAATGAGAACATAGATGAAGAGCGTGTTGATGTTTCTAAATATCTCTGGCTGAGACGCTCACCTGGTCTCCATGTCCAGCTGTTCCTCCAGCTGAACGATCTTTGCCTCCAGGGCGGCCATGTTGGCCTTGTACTTGGACTTGACGGTTCCCTCGAGCTCCTGCAGCTTCAGTTTCAGCTCCTTGTTCTGACGCTCCAGCTGAGAGCGGGCACCTTCCACGCGCTGAGAGCTGCTGCGCTCTGCGGTCAGCTCCACATTCATCTGATCCGTCTGAACAAGAGGGACCGAGACTCAGAGTCAGTTTGGGCTGAACGCAGGAATTAATCAATGACTTCAAATAACACAACCGGTTGCTGAAGAAGCATCGACTGATGAAAACCTACAGACCTGCAGCAAAGCTTTCTTCAGCCTGTCGTTGGTCAGCTCAGTGTTGCATTGCTCCTCCTCCAGCTCCTCCTCCAGCTGAGCGATACGAGCCTCCAGCCGTCTCCTCTCCTCTGCAACCTGAGCACTGAGATGGAAGAAAGGTTGGTGTGATTACAGTGCACACACACAGACACACGGGTAAACAACAAGCCATGCACATAACTAACAATTTGTTGAAAAGTGATGAACGTCTTACTTCTTGTTGGCCTGGTTGTTAATCTCATCCTGCAGCTCATCTCTCTCCTGCTGGGCCTGTCTCTTCACTCGCTCTGCAGATGCCAACTCCTGCAAAAGTACCACAGAGCAGTTTGTTTAATTGCACCAGACAGTTCTTGGCTCATCTCACTTTCACTTCAAGCGTAAAAAAAAAGAGACGACTGTAGACGTGTGCGTGCCGACCTCCTGCATCTGGATCATGTCTGCCTCCATGCCCTTCAGCTTCTTCTCGGTCTCCTTGCTCTGGGCGAGGATCTCCTCCCGGGACATGCGAGTGTCCTCCAGTTCTCGGACAAGATCCTTCATCTGGGCCTGAGGAGAGAGAATAAAAAAAAGAAATGCATCGATTAGCCGAGTCAAAGGAGTCATTAGATTTGAGTTGTTCAATATATTTCAACAGTCAACTCACTTGGAGTTTCTTCAGCTGCTTCAGGGCCTCGTCGCGGTTCTTGTTGGCCATGTCGATTCCTGCCTCGAGCTCCTTCAGGTCCAGCTCCAGCTTTTTGCGAGAGGCCACGGCAGCAGAACGCTGCTTCCGCTCGTCCTCCAGCTCCATCTCCATCTCACGCACCTGGAGGACGCACAACTCATTTTCAGCCATGCACCAATTTCTACACTTTTCCATAGTCAAGAACCGAATTTCCCACAAAGATGACAACAGCTAAATACGTTACAGCGGCTTTAGTACCTGTTTGACCAGAGCTCTCTTCTTCTCCTCGCCCATCTCGTCTCGCCCTGCCAGGTCTCTCTCATACTGGGCCTTCAAGGCCTGCATGTTGACCTCCAGACGCAGCTTGGCGTCCTCTGTGGCCTGCAGCTCGTCCTCCAGCTCCTCCAGCTGAGTCTTCATCTCCTCCAGCTGCTGGTCCATGGCACGTTTGGATTTCTCCAGTTCGTGGACCTGTGCGACAGGAAGTAGGAGTAGTGATGAGGACTTGAGCAGACCACACAGGCACAAATACTCACACACTAACACACAACTCATTTTCCAGACGTACACTCTTGCCGACGTCATCCTTAGAAGATACCAGGTCCTCCATTTCAGCACGCAGCAGTTTGTTGTTGCGGTCCAGTTCTTCCTTCGTGTCCATCAGAGAATCCAGCTCACGAGTCAACGCCAGCGCCCGGGTCTCCTTCTCGCGGGCCTCAGCCTCAGCTCGGTCACGCTCCTCTGCGTAGCGGGCGGAGATGTTCTTCTCCTCCGCCAGCATCTAGAGAAAGTCAGGGCAAAGTGTTTAAAAGATCCAACAGCTAAAATATGCTCATTACTAAAAATGTCTACTATAACCTGTGGCACTGTATTTACATAAAACAGATTATCTGACCTGGTCAAACTTCTTCTGCTTCTTCTCCAGGTTGGAGACGATCTGTCGGAGGTGGTCTTGGTCTACGAGCAGGTCGTCCAGCTCTTGCTGGAGACGCGTCTTGGTTTTGTCCATCTTATCGAAGGCAGCACATTTCTCCTCCAGGCGCTGGTTTGTTGCTTCCAGGTCCCTTTGCAGCCTCTTCTTTCCCTCCTCGGCCGTCTCCAGACACCCTGCGTCCTGCTCCACCCTCTTCTTCATTTCAACCAGCTGTATGGAGAGAGGTGGTGTCACTCAAACGTTTGACACCGTGAGGTAGAGGCGTGCTTCATAATACATCGTGGATGAAGTAGCAATAGCTCCTCAATCCTCCAGTAGCTGCTGATAATGAGTTCTCAGCAGGTCTGAGGGACACGTTCACGTTTTACCTGAGCCTGCACAATCTGCAGCTGCTTCTCCAAGTTCTTCTTGGCGGCCTCTTCCTCCTCCAGCTGTTCTTTCAGGTTGTTCTGTTCATCCTCTAGCTGGCGCATGCGTGTGCCATGTGACAGTTTCTGGCGGGTTTCTTCCTGGAGCAGTTCCTGTTGTGAACATGGACATGCAAGGTCAATTATAAGTGAGAGGCAGGTAACTTGACTGAAAGGGTTTTCACACCTATGGTTCCTTTGTTCTGCTCTATTTCTCCATTTCTGCCGGAGAGTCAGTTGGTTTTCAGATCTCTGAAAGTATCGGAGGGTGTGAAGCGTATGCGGGTCTGCGTACCTGAACGTCCTGCAGCTGGGACTCCACAGCGGAGCAGTCTTTGCTTGCTTTGATGGATTTTCCCTCCAGATCGCTCAGTACGCAGGTTACATTTTCCAACTCAGTCTGTGGACAGACGACAACAAATCAACCACTGAACAGAATCATTCTTCTTCTTCTTCTGCCTCCACAACGGTTAATACACTGATAAATATACAGACGTAATAAAAGATCTCTACCTGAGTTTTTGACAGTTTCTCAACCAGCTCCACCCTCTGGCGCTCGCTCTCGGAATGTTTGAGCAGCAGCTCCTGGACCTGGGACTCCGCCTTCTTCCTGCGATGCTCAGAATCTCCTTTACCCTGCATCAGCGTCTGCATCTCGATCACCAGCTCGTTCCTCTCCGACTCCAGAGCCTGCTTGGCCTTCTCCATTGAGACTTTGTTCTGCAGGGAAGGACCGAAACATTGAGGACTTTAAGGAGAAAAGAAAAACATTGGGTGGATAGAGGCTCTGAAATAGATTTTAATTACCCTCTTCGCCTGCTCCAGCTGCTCATTGAGCTCATCGAAGGCCTGACCGTGTTTCTGTCTCATCTCAGACAGCTGCTGTTCGTGGACCCTGGCCTCTTCATCCAGAGTCTTTTTAAGATGTGCAACCTCCGTTTCACGTTTGGTCCTGAGAAGGCAGAGCAGAGGTCAACCTACTTGATTCCATGGAGCATGATGGGGAAATATCTCACTGCTGTAGCTCTTTCAAAACCAGTTTTCTACCTCAGTTCTTGCTGGGCTGCAGTGGAGTCCAGAGTGTCCTCCAGCTCGGTCTTGAGGGCCTCGAGCTCTTCTCCCAGGTCCCGGCGGTGTTTCTCTGCCTTGGTGCGGGCCTGCCTCTCCAGCTCCAAATCCTCCTGCAGCTCAGAGAGCTGAGCCTCCAATTCGCGAATCTTTTTCTGGGCCAGGTTCTTCTGTGCCGCCTCCTCCTCAATCCTGAAGGGAGGGACAGGTCAGACAAATTTATAAAAAGAACAGCAGCGAAGGAACCCATTTTTCAAACAAACGATTATTACGGATAATAAAACAAGGAGCTGTCAAGTCCATACAGACCTGGCCAGAGCTGCCTGGAGCTCTTCCTCCTTCTTGGCCAGTTGGGCACGGAGCTCAGCAATCTGGGCCTGCAGCTCTGAAATCTGGTCTTGAACCTCGGTGAAGTCACCGTCCAGTTTGCGTCGATTCTTTTCCAGCTCCTGACGCTGCTTCTCCTCCCTGCGCAGGCGGTCTGACAGAAAAAAAGAACAATTGCTTTGCTAACGATATGCTAACAGTTGGAATCAGCCACCAGGATCTACGATGGCTCATGTATGTTGCCTCATGTCCGCATCATGCTTCCTTCTTACCCTCCAGGTCTGTTATCATGGCCTCGTGCTTGGTCTTGAGTTTCTGCAGACTCTTGGATTTCTCCTCCTCCTCAGCCAGATTGGTGGTGAATTCAGAGATTCTCTCCTCCATCAACTTCTTCTCCTGTGTTCACAAGCAGAGATGGCAGAGAGGCTCAAATCGAGCACCGTAGCAGCCACTAGCTCCCCAGAAATATAATCATTTTAATCTTCACCTTGTTTAGTTTGTTGTTCTGGTCGTCTAGAACCATAACCTCATCCTCTATCTTTTTCATCTTTGCCTCCAAGGTGACCTTTTCCAGCTGCAGCTTCTGTCTGGCCGCCTCCTCCTCATCCAGCTGCTGCTCCAGGTCCTGAGGGTAAACAAACAGTAAGTACCCCACCCTAACATATACACACCGCCTGCATGCGTATCATTTCAAATTTCCTTACTGAGATATTCTGCTGCATCTTCTTTTTCTCTGATGTCAGGTGAGACGCTCGCTCTTCCTCCTCCTCCACTCGGGCCTCCAGGTCATGGAGGATCTCCTCCAGCTCCTGCTTCCTGGCAGCGAGACGGGCTCTCATCTCCTCCGCCTCGGCACAGAGCTCTGTTTCCGCTTGAAGCTGCTCCTGCAGGGCCATCTTCTCAGCACTCAGCTGCAAGCAGAGTAAAAATGATAAATGTACAGGAATTACATGACATTCAAATGAAGCACACTGCTTTATCTTCCACCTGTGAATATTATACTGAAGTCCGGGGATTTTATTCTACTATATAATGTTACCTGCTGTTGTTTCTCCTCCATCTCCAAAAGCTGCTGCTGAGCATACACGTGTTTCTCCTTAGCTTTACTGAGCTCGTCATCCTTGGCCTGCATCTCTTCCTCCTGCCTGCTGACCTGCAGCAGAGGCTTCACCTGATGCAAGAACAAGTGGAAATAAGGGGCATTAGGAAAAACGGAAGGAGCAAAAAAAAAGGAACAATCTGCAATATGTTGATGTCGTAGGAGATTGAAGTTCACCTTGGTGAAGAGCCTCCACCACTGCCAGTTCCTGAGTTTGAGATAAGCGGCGCAGTTTCTTTGGATCACCTTCATTGCAGTCAGTTGCTGCTGTCTCCTGGCAAAAGCCCTGCGAAGCAATATAACCAATAACACAGTTCAAGAAATACCCTTAAATTATATATATATACACACACAGTATAATTCCGGTGCATAGTAGCAAGTTTTTCTTTTAATACTCTCAGCAATAAAAGCTGAAACACTAAAGTGTAATGTTGTTTGAATCAGTCATACTATGCTCCACATCATTTTGTCACTAAAAGAGGATCCTGATACGATCGTCTCCTCTTACTTTCGGGCCACGTAGCCTCGGCACCAGGCCTGGAAACTGATGATGATGTCTGTGATCTTCATGTCTCTCTCCTCCTCCAAGTGAGCGAGGACACCGGCTCTGAAGAAGACTTTGCTCTGGCCGATGCGGTACAGGTTGGGATCCAGCTCCAGGCTTTTAATCTGACGGGTAAGGAAACGTGCTGATCAATCACATCATGGAGGGATTTGTTTGTGTTTATTATGTGGTATTATCATGCAGACTCCCAAAGAAACTTTTAGCTCCATTACCATGAGCACACAGGCCTGTTTTCCATCCATGAAGCCCTTGGGGATGGCGTTCGGAGTGAGGATTTCATACCTGGGGGAAAGCAGACGTTAGGATTGAGTGTTTGCTGGATGAAACAACAATAAATCGGAGTGAGAACAATAAAATGATTATTCCGTTACCTCTGTCTGAACTCCTGGAAGACGATGCGGTTGGGGAAGCCCTGTCTGCAGATACGGATCCCCTCCAGGACACCGTTACATCTCAGCTGGTCCAGAACCAGGTGAGGGTCCAGTTTACCAGCCTGTGAGAGGGGAACGAGTGCTGGTCGGTTATTTTGGCGAAACAGAGACAAACTGTTCTAATCTGTACAATGACGGCTTTACTGTTGCCTGACTCTAAAGGTCCTGTGTTGGAAATGGCCCAGTAGATGCCAGTGTTTGATACCTTTTTCTCGTGGTTGGGGATGATGCAGCGGACAAAGTTTGGGTTTGTGTTCCTCAGAGTGGCCATGAGCTTGGACAGCTGCTCCTTGTACAGCTGGCCCACCGTGCGGAACATGCCCTTGCGGGTCTTGAAGGCACCGGGCATCTCGGACACCTTATCCAGACCGACGATGCGGTCCACTGAAAGAGGAAGACAACAGAGAGAAACAGAAAGGGGATCATTATGGAAGAAGAAGTCGGTGGGGATTTATATTAATAATACAAATATTCAACCAGGCAAATTCAAACCAAACGCATGTCACAAGGAAAAATGAATATGACCATTGTCTCTCCACGTTCTCTTGGTAAACACGCACCAGGAAAGAATAGAGAGTGAAACACCAAACACACACCGAGTGAATGTAGAGGGAAACAAAGGGGAGTCACGCAAATAAAGTGAAGTGTGGAGAGGCCACACACTATCTATATATTAAAAAAAAAACCACTGAAACTTTGTTCTTCTCAGAGTGAAAATATGTGTGATGGTTCACTTCGTGTTCGTGTGACAAACGGTGCTGCAGTGAGCAAACAAACAACCAAACCCATGCAGTATATACCCATTGCTGCAGTACCCATGACCAACACCAGGAGTCCCCAAACAACACTATCACACAGAGGGAGAGAGGGAGAGTTCAATGACAGAGCAACAACTAGGATGACCAGAGGATTGTTACTGAACACGGAGCTGGTTAAAGACAATGGAACAACAGAATTTACAGGCATTTCATCGGAAAGATATTTTTATATCAGGAGAAAAGGACATGGTGGGAATAATTATTTCATTTAACCAGACAACAGGAGAAACAGGGAAAGAATAAAGACATGAAAAAGAAACCTCATCACCTGAGTCTGAGTGTAGAATAGGAAAACGCTGATAAAAATAGGCTCTCTGACATTTCTGTACCTCTGAGGCCCAGTAAAAGAAAAGAGGACAGACAGAACGGGGCCGCACAGAGGAGGAAGTGGACGTAAACGACAAACGGGAGTTGACGAGGTAAAAAAAAACAAAGGTCCACACACCAAACAGCAAAAGAGAAAAAGAACTATGAAATGCAAAACAGGAACAGTAAGACATCGAGAGCTTTACTCTAGAGAAGCAGTGATTCCTGGGATACCGCGACTGAGTTAACGTCTGTCTGGACTCACCGTCCTTCCACAGCTCAGAGACAAACTTGTCAGTGGACTGGTTGAGCAGTGAGGCCACGTTGTCATTCAAGGGGTCCATGTTCTTCATCAGCCATTCACCTGCCTTGTAGTCCACCTGAGGGGTGACATCACACAGGAAGTTAGTTAGGAGTGAGGACATGCTGCAGAGGGATGAAGCACAGAACGTGGCGGAAACCCAGCGGTTGGTGAACGCACGGCATCAGGTCGGTTAGAGGTTATAGATGTCAGTTTCCATAGATTTACGATTAATTGTGAAGCCCTGTTCTCACATGACCTCACCTGGACAATATCTGGAGTTTTTACAAGAGAGCTGGAAGGAGAAAGTCTGGAGCCTCTCACTTATATTAGATTAACCGACTCTGTAAACGTACCTTGCCGGCATAATGGATGACACAGAAGTCAGCCTCATCCTTCAGTTTCTTGGGTTTGAGGAACTTGGGGTGCGTGCCCTGCTCCTGCAGAACTTTCTCCACAAAGCTCTTGTCGGTGGCCTTGGGAAACCAGCACTCCTCATCCAGCAGAGCCAGAATACCAGGGGGACTGGCCTGGAGACAAACGCAAGAGTGCAGATCGTAAACATCTTCCAATATTTAGTTGGTTGCAATGCTTCTTCGAGTAAAGAAATAAAAGCTGGAGAGGTAAAAGAAACAAAGAAAACTCACTGGTTTTTCAATGAGGTCGATGCAGGGCTGCAGGTCGAGGCCGAAGTCGATGAAGCTCCACTCGATGCCCTCCCTCTGGTACTCCTCTTGCTCCAGGATGAACATGGTGTGGTTGAAGAGCTGCTGCAGCTTCTCGTTGGTGTAGTTGATGCAGAGCTGCTCGAATGAGTTCAGCTGGAGGGACAAACAAACAAACAAACAAAAAAAAAAAGGGTTCAGAACACTGCTGATAAACAGCACG